GAATATCATATTTTTATTACTTAATTACTTCCTACTTCCGGAGCTCATGAATAATTTAATTACTTCCGGAGCTCCGGAAGTAATTACTTCCGGACTTCCGGAGCTCATGAATAATTAATGACCTGTCAGTTTGACGAAAGGGGTATAATATCACTCTCTGATGTCACTCGACAATTAAATTATTACACAATCTGCAAATAAAGGAAATGTTGTGAAACAGATGCGGTGTTAGATAATGTGAACGGTTTGGATGACGGCAACGTTAAACTTACGTGTCACATCAAAGATTACAGGCCACTTTGATCAACGCTATACATAAAAGGAGAAAAGCAAAGAGTGACTAAATGTGTAATACTTGGGCTTCTCTATGTTCCTAGCTTTAAAACCTAAGCTACAAGACACTTTTTTTTACATGTAGAAAACTAAAGAAATCTTCCACAATTGATATGTACTGTATTTTCTATCAAATGTCATTCACTGTGAGCACAAAGCTTTGTGGTGCCTTGCCTGTGCCTGCTTTTGGCAACGACTCTAAGCCTGTTTTCTGTGGAAATGCAGGAAACTGGTTCTAATTTAGGCACCAGCATCGGCACCACAGTAGTGGAGGTAAAAGAGAAGTATTTGTATTTGTTAGGGATCATTTTTAGTAAGTGCGTACGCCAAAAAATTCAGGCTACATATTTGACCTTCAAAAGCTCTTAAGTAGCTATAATTATTATTGTAACAGCTAAAGTTCATATAAAGCTAAATTAAACAGAAACGTGTATAATTATCCAGCCAGCCAAATTTTAGTGGTTAACATAATCCCAAATTTTTACAGATATTTAAAAATAAACATCCCGTCCTCTAAAATGTCCCAAATAGATGGCATCATCTGGACAATGGATTAAATATGAATGGTTTGCTTACTGACTGCTTTGTCTGGTTCTGTCTAGCAAGTGTAGGAATGTTTAATCATTTAGTTTATTCACCATATGCATTTCTAATTTTGAACACAAGCATTTTTGGGATTTTAAAAAACAGAAATAAAAGGTAAAATCTGAACGTTTTGGTTTTGTAATGGGAGATTTTGCTGTTTTAGACCATTTACATCAGTACCAAGTTATTACTGTGTCCCATTGAGACTTTCTGTTTTGTAAGAGTGGCCTAGTCAAAAGGCAGTTCGTCACACAAACCCAAAAGCTCACACAATGACTCGATAATCCTTGAGGGATGAACCACAAATAAAACTTAATCATTAATAAGCAGATCAGTGTGGCATGTGACATCACTTTCCCGTTTGGGTCCCGTTCAGTCCTGGCTCCTTTATCTCCGCTCTCCAAAAAGAAACTGATGATTTTATCTATTTTAAAAGCAGTTGTGATTCTCATATGAGAGGCTCTATTTTGAGAAACTGCTTTAACAATATTAGCTGTTGTTTTTCCCTTTGAGAAGAAGCGGTGCTGGTGACTATTTAACCTTCTGTTCAACTCTCCCTCTGTTCATTGTTCCTGCTCCGATTCTGTCACGTCTGTAAACATTTATAGAACGGAGAGGAGTATTAAAGGACAGCTCGTTTTTGACATAAGCTGATAAAAATAGCATCTGATGGTGTTTGTACTACAGCTTAGGCTCTGAAGCATATGCACAGACTTAAAAAAATTGACATAAGTATAGTTAATGTTTTTAGTAGGATCAGAATTCACTTTGACAGTAAATGATAAGCGGAAACTAAATAATTCCTCTTAAATAATGGCTTTGAGAAAAGGGCTTCAGTTTGGGGAAATGCAGTCAGTGACTGCGTGAATTAGGGAACAAACAATATTAATAACAGGAACGGCAATGTCACTGAATAAATCCTGTTTAAATCCTCCATTTGGTTGTGCTGTAAATATTCTACACACCAGCTGTTAGTCTGTTGTGCTTGATGTGTTATCTGCCCACAGTGGTTGATCCACACATTACCAAGTGGGACTGGAAGCAAATGGACTGAGTGAACTTGAAAATGTATGTGTCTGATTTAGAGCAGATAGCAAGAAAACAGTGGTCCATTCTAGGATACTGAGGGAGGATTCACACAGATGGCTTTCAGCTTTCAATGCTCTCGCTTCTCATTCACTTTGAATGGAGTGACATCATGTGTTGCCAAACTGAGTGTTGGATCCCATGCTTTGTTTTGCTCCCTCTGATTGAAATTCAACATAAACAAATGCTCCAGCATGGCAAGTAGCCAGTAAGATCACATCATACAGACATAATTTTTTTCTGCTGTTAATTGCATTAGAAAGTTTAATTGCTGGATAGCGCTACACGGTGACCTTTTCTTGATGTGTTGAGCTTATATGCAGACATGCAGGAAATGTCTTCCGTATTAGTTAGCCGAATTTTATTTTAAAAAACTAATTTTCAAGGTTTTTTTTTATACTTATAGAGAGAGCTGCAAAATTATCACATAATTAAACTGGAGGGGCGGCAAGATGCATACGATTTTAAGTATAATAGTTGGGATTGTGCTGCAGTTGCCTGTTATTGGACTTGGAGCAAAAGGGAAATGGACTGATTCTTATATAGTGCTTTTCTCCTCTCCCAGAGAGAGCAACTTTTATATCCTTGGGTTTAATATCTTTCCCAAGGATATTTGGCATGCAGAGAGCCATGGATCGAACCACCGACCTTCCGATCAGTAGATGACCTGTTCTACCTTCTGAGCTACAGACACCTCAGTTATACTTTTCCTTGTTTCCTTATTGTGAAACACATGTAGAATTACTCAGCGGGTTAAAAGTAGCTTATATTAAACATGGCCAGAGTTTTAAATACTCAGGTGACCACATGTAGAAGGAATTCCCTGTGCAGCAAAAACTGAAGGCTCAGCTTCAGAAAGAAATTTTCTACTCTTACTGTGATGTCAGTCAGAGTGGATATTCCTAATATGGTCATTGCAGGTTGTACCCACCGACTGTTAAAACCTTTTATTTGCGAGTGGCAGTCAATCAGAAGGAAGGTGGAGCTAAAACAGCTTGAAGGCCCTTGATAGGATTGTTTTATACTTTGAACCATGCAACAGTGTTGTAATAGAATTAACAATAAACATATAGGCTATGTAAAATCCCCCCTTTAGTATTGCAGGACACCCTAGTATGCCATAAAATCACAGTTAAAAGGAAAAACATGCACTCATCATGTAAGCTTAACTGGGTAGGCTCTAAAGAGCACTTGTTTTTAGTGAATAAATATTGTGTAATTACAATGAGAACATGGACTAGCAGGATTTGGGAATCACACTTCAGTGGTCACCGGGAGTGCTAGCAGTTTCAATTCCCAAGCCTGTGATATGCTAAATTGTAGCTACTGAAACCAAACCTAATTTCAGGCTGGACACCCCCACCCCGACCAGCGAATCTTTCTTGACAGTACTGTACACGCTTGCAGTCACTTGGGTGATTTCATGGCTCTTAACCAAACACAAAGGCTCCATTATGGCTCCGCTCACTGAAATAAACTCACTTTCTCTCCCCTATTCCTTCTCGCCCATTTTGTCCTCTTCCATCTCCTCCCACTCTTCCGCCTCCTCTTTAAATTCACACTTTCACCCACTTCTCTCTGAAATCAAATCTAAAGCCATATTTTCCATTTTGTTACCTCATTCTCGTGTGGAAGTGGGGGAAGACGGAAAGAAGGGGAAATAAGGCAAGGAAGACGAGGAATCGAGGAGAGTGCGAGTATAATAATTAGCCCAGTAATTAGGTCTCGTCCCTAGTTCCCCCTCCCACCTTCCTGTCCTTTGAAGTTCCCTCCTCCAGACTACCTTGGATGCACTTGGGAGGCATCCAAGAGGAATGGGGGATCACAGGTGTGTGTGTGTGTGTGTGTGTGTGTGTGTGTGTGTGTGTGTGTGTGTGTGTGTGTGTGTGTTGTGAGCAGGTATGGAGGAGCTCTGCAGAACCTGACTCTCAAGCTTCCTGTCACCATCAACAAGTTCTTCCAGCCAACTGAAATGTCCTCCAGTGACTTTAAAAGATGAGAGTTATTGGTGCACTCCCTCAGTGTCTTTCTGTCATTGGCAGATTGCTTGCTTTTTCATTGTTGAAACCCTCACCCCCGTCTCTCACACACACACACACACACACACACACACACACACACACACACACACACACACCACTCATATGTGCCAGATGCTGTATTTTCAACACACAGAGATTCAGACACACACACGTCACATGAGGTTCTTTGTTTTGGTTTGCTGCAGAGATAAAACCCGGCTCTGTTACACTTCTCTGTAAGGGAGACAAAGAGCGCTTATCTCATAACACTGAATGTGTGTGTCTGAGGGAGAGAATGCGTTTGTGTGAGTGTTTTCCAATGCAGTCATTTTATTTATGCATTGAAAAAATATTTTTTCTTTAACTAGCTGGATTTTCAGTGTACTTAAGTCTGGTTTTTTTTGTTTTGTTTTGTGGGGGGTTTTCCCTTGTGGATCTGTGTCTGTAGTCATGAGATCTACATGCTGATTTAGCCACCAGGGCTAGCATGACACACTTCCTCTTGAAAAGGAGGCTAATCACACGTTAAAAGATTTAAGTTTAAAGTTCAACACAAACACACTATAGACGGATTGGATGGGGAAATTATTCTAAAAAATGCTAAAGCAATAAATAAAAGAAGTTGCCAAAATAAAAATCTAATATCTCTGTGAGCAGTACCTTAGCATGTTTGCAATAGCTCAACTATTTTTAGTTTTAATACAGCCAGAGCTGGGTGGCAACAGTGGGGGTGGCAAAAACTGTCCAATAGTAGGAACAAATGCTAAAAGATAGAAAATATACTTTGGTGACTCACATGAGTAAAGTCACCTCCAGCTTATCCAGGGGAATGCCGAGGCATCCCCAGTCCAGCCGAGAGATATAACCTCAACCTGCTCCTTTCTGTGTGGAGTAGCGGTTCTACTTTGAGGACCTCTCAATTAGAGCAGGGCAATATGACCAAAAATATTTATACTTTATTATATTATAATTTTATACATTTGAAAGTTTGCGATAACGATATAACTGACGATATAATTGACACTAGACAAAATACTTTACAACTCCACAACTTTATTAGTGCAAAAAAAACCCCAAAAAACATCAATGTATTTTCACTGTTTTATGTGCATTAAAGTTATGTAAAAATTTAACAGTGCAAATGCAAAATCCTTGCTGACAGTTTAACCAAAAGGCATTTCCTGTGGAAATTAGCCAACATATCCTCAGCATAACCATGTATAATATCCGCAAAACTTAAAAAGAGGTTATACACACACAATACGGTAATATTATGATGAAGCACAGTACGTATCACTCCATGAGGCTCCTGCCTACGATAGCCGTAATGCTCAAACAATCCATCAAGCTGTGCAGGTTCGTAGCTTAGCAAAGTCGTACTAAAACATTTGACAGATTTTCGAGCGCCGTGTACGACATAAAATAATTTCGAGGTCAGTAAACACAACCAGAATTCATACATAAGGCGCACAGGATTATAAGGGGCACTGTCGATTTTCAGAAAAATCAAAGGATTGATTTTAAGTGTGCCGTATTTTCCAAAAAACACAGTAATAACGACGGCCTGCTAGCATGCTCTACCAAAAATAGTGCTTTGTTGTGTATCTGACGGACGAAAGCTAAACCAGTTCCACACTGAAGTTGCAGCATTTTTACAAACCAGTTCTGGTTCATCCGTTTCATTCAACGATCTGCTTTCGTCCTTCTCATGCTCCGTCGCCGCCATGCTTTTTTTTTTCCCCGCCATGTGCGTATGAAACCAAAGGCACTGCGCATGCGTGTTTTACCCATATTCTATCGCGATATTTCATTTTCTTATTGTTGCCCAACATTATACCGGTATTACCGTGAACGGTATGATATGGCCCAGCCCTACTCTCAATGACTGCACTCTTTACTGTCTCTGAGTAAGAGGCCGGCCGCCTTTCAGATAAAGCTCATTTTCACTGTTTGTATCTACAATCTTGTTCTTTTGGCGACTACCTAAAGCTTGCGACCATAGGTTACGGTTGTAGCTCGACTGGTAGATTGACTGCTTTGCTTTTGTACTCAGCTCTCTCTTCAACACGAGGGGCCGCCGGAGCGTCTTCATCACTGCAGCTGATGGCCCAATCTGCCTGCCTGTGAAACTATAATATATACATTTACTGATTTTGTAAATAGTAGTGTAATAAGTAAAATAATTAGTGGCAAATCTCCTTTAGCCCCACGCACAAGGCTCAACGCGTAAACGAGGAAACCGCGCTAACGCGTTGATGCTGTGCGGCCCCAAGCATGGGCGATCTGCAGTAACTCGCTAACGGAGATTTGTCGCGTTAATGTGGTTATGGCGGTAATGTCATTTTAACAAGATTAACGCTGACAGCACTAAAAATAACACATAACACAATGAATGAACAGAAGAAAAGTTATGCAAAATTTTGGCACTTATTTAGTTTCACTTCAGTGTTTTTTACTGACATTCATGGTCGTGATAGTTTCTGCTTCCTGCCTTTTCATTTTTAGTCTTTGCATCTTGTTAGCCAAACTGTATGGAGTAAACAAAAACATTGTTTTTTGTTGGAGGAAAGCATGTATTGTAACTGAGAACACTTGAGAGCTTGGTAGGTGTAACGTTTTTACCTGCTGCTTACCTGGTAGACCCACAGTGAACTAAGTGTTCCTAAAATTATTTTGCATAAATTATTTTAAAAACTATTTTATTTTTGTATTATTTTGCATAATTATATTGTCAGTAATATTGTAATTTGACACAGACAGTGGTACTCCAGTCAGACCTTCAACAGCCTTTAACCTGCTCTGTTTTGTAGCAAAACGTCTGTGTGATGTTGATGTGCGAACGGCATCGCTAAATGTTGGTTAGCGTTTACTGATAGCAAAGGGGGCGAGATCAGTGTTATAGCCAAGATTAAATAGTTTTTAATCTTCAGCATTTATTGATCACACATCACTGCAGTCTGGCATGATGCTGCAATATATATTTTTCTCAGGCCTAGTTAACGCACAAAACAAACATTATGGTTTTGTGTTGGTGAGGTTACAGTCACATGTGCTGATATTGACTGAAGCCATTTTCGCTGTGCGGTGTCATGGATGATGTATTAGTGTGTGTGTGTGTGTGTGTGTGTGTGTGTGTGTGTGTGTGTGTGTGTGTGTGTGTGTGTGTGAGAGTGAGCGGACAGGCAGATGGGGTCTCCTGAGTATGAAGGGAGCTAACGACCTTGAGAGAGAAATGAAAAGAGAGGCATGGTGACGGCAGGGGTTAGCTTGTTTTGTGCCGAGGGTCAGGCAGCATGGGCAGGGCATTTCTGCTGCCGCTGCTTCCTCACTGCATTTCCTCCACTCAGCCTGCCTCATAAGTGCACGCACACATACTCACGCACACGCACACATTGACGAGGCGATACCGCAGCGACACAATGAACACGGTCTGGCTTCAGGCAGATTGAGCAAGGTGTTTCCTGTGACCTGAACAACTGCTGCGTCAACAGAAATACATTCATCTGGAACAACACTGGCAGGCGCTCGCAGCCGTGCACAGCGTGTACGTGTGTCTCGGCAAACTGATTTGACTCTGTCAATTAGCGCTCATTAATTTCTCCTCATTTGAATGCGTGAGCGTGTGTGTAAGTGAAAACAGCTGTGTTCAAGTGCGTGATGGTCATCCTTTATTCATGCTTCGTTCATGGTTTATTCATGTACTGTTGAAGCATTTGCAAAGTGAATGAATATTGGATTAAAAGGAGCTTTGAGTTATTCATGAGCGGAGATATTTTGGACTGTACGGGTGCTCACAAAATCTTCAACATCGCACAAGAATGCACAAAATAACAGCACAGATGAAAGCAGTCTTCTAAATGTTGCATTCTTTTGTAGCCGACTCTGTGTTTTTGTGTGTCCTGCAGGCCGCACATTGCCCTGTTATGGAAAAGATGAAGAGGATTAAGAAGCGTCTGTCATTAACACTCCGCCCCAGTCAGACCATCGACGAGTCTCTGTCAGAACTGGCTGAGCAAATGACCATTGAAGATGGTGGCACCAAGGACAACGGTATTCACCTTTTCTTTTTACAAATCCTGTTCTAAAAAAGATATGAACGTATAGAAATGTTGAAATACAAAAGAACAAAATGGTAAAAACATATTTTAGTTGCAGTGAATAAAATGAGGATGATTCATTTTAAAAGGGTTACAATTCCATTAAAAAAATCTCTGATTTGAGTCCCTGCCTGATCTGCACCAGCGTAGAAAATTCTACCAGTCTGATTTTTCTAAGTGTTTTCTTGTGCATGCCCTTCAGCTGATATGTAAAAGCTAGAAGGACACGGGGGTTTTGTGTCTCGACATCTCTCAGGGACTTCTAAATTATAAATCTCTGAAGCTGATGAAGACAAAGTTCAGCATGTGTGTCAGTAACAGTTGTAAAGGCCTTCCTCCAAGTACCTCTCTACTGAGTTATGTAAGAGGCGTAAGAGCAGAGCACTTAAAGACAGACACACACACACACACACACTCACACTCACACACACTGAGAGCTTCTCAGATGATCAGAAAGTAGTCCATAGTGAATGATCATTCACAGACATCCAGTCTTTTTCTGCTTTTCCCTCATATGTGCTACACCACGTCTCCAGTGAACCTTTGAGTTGATAGACACATGACCATAAGTGGCTGCTGCTTTTGATTGACAGCTGTCAGGATAAATGAACATTAATCACTTCATTAATGTGTACTTAGTTTGTAGCTTTTTTTGGTGTGACAGCATCATGATTGAAACGTTAGCAAAATCCATCCGCTCACAGTTGAAAATGGATGGAGGATGCACTAAAGGACTTTGTTGGATCTTTCTGTTCCCATCAATCTAATCAAGTGCAGAATGAAACCGTGTCTGATGTTTTTGTATGTATGTTAAAGGTCCATATGGGAAAAGGTGTTTTGTAATGTTTTCTTAGAGGAAAGGGAACTTGTTGTGAGAGAGCCCCACATTATGCTTTCAAATATTTGTATACTTGGCCATTTTTCCCTCAGTATTACAATCCTTTTTTTTCCCGGTTTGCTGTTGTTTCTTTTTTTTAAATTATGTCCACTTAGAAAATTATTTTAGATGCCTTTTTTTTCTAATTTTGGGGTTAGAGAAAGTCTATTCTCGTGGTTGCAGAGGCAATCCCAGAGAGTAACTCCCAAAGGGATTAGTTGGACATTGAGCAGAAAACTTAAAAACAAAAACAAAACTGCTTGTACTTTGTTTGTATTTTGACTTTGCTGTTTTATTCTAATTGCTATTCAAGCAATGAAAGGTGAATCATTTCTCAGTACTGACATCTATCATTTAGGAGTAGACTGCAAACCTCCACAGACTTTTTTTTTTATCTTATTTTGAAAGCCTCTAGCCCTTCCCTTCTCTTGTTTCCCCACTGGCTGACTCACCGGTCATGTTCTTATCATGGCGATTGTCGTTATCATTCAGTTGCTTTCCCAGAGGCAATCTAGTCCCGTCCTGCAGTGGGGCTTACTCTTGACTCCTCTATTTTTGACAGCAGCAGAAAGGGTACACTGCAAATACAGTTCACAGCCAAGCTTTCTTTGCATTAGCTGGCTTGACAAAGCCTAAAAACCCAGTAAAGCACAACAGTTTTGTAAATAAGACAAAAGATGAGTGCTGCAGAAAACTGTTAATCTCACACAGAGCGCTAAAATAAATGTTTTAATTCCAGTTGAATTGCTGCTGTTGAATTGTAAGGTGACAGCTGGACATTAGATTTCTAAAACTTTAAACTGGATTCATTTAGACATTATTAGGCTGTGGGACAGTAATAAAGGCACTTAGAACATGCTGTAAATTAAAGAACTTGAAAAGATGTGGCGCTTCCAGCTGAATTTAAACCACAAGAGCCACTTTCATGACACAGAAAACTCTGACTTTAAGCTCAACATAGCCCGCTAAGCCTTTAACTAGCTGTGTAGCACACCTCTCTGAACAAGAAGTACCCTCGCAACTGCAGTCTTAAGACCTAGTTGGATTAGAAGTAATAAGCAAGCTAATTATGTCAGTTGATCACTTCATTTCTTAAGAAGGACCAAAATGCTCATAGAGCGTTCGCTCTCTATATCAACCTTTGTAGTCAAGGTTTGCACAGTGTGTAGGACTTCTGTGAGCATGAGGGGATCATGTTAGGTATCCCTTTGACAACATACAGAATCAAGAGCACAAAAATCTGTATAAAACAACCTGAAGTCTCAGTCTTTGACTCACGGAGTATTTGTGTGTGTGTTTATTTGTGGTATTATTCTCCTCTTAGCATAGGTTTGTCACTCTGGGCATTACATAACTCTGGAGAATATTTGATGTCGTCTCATGTTTATTTCTACCCATCTCCCTGTAATTGAGGCTGAAGGTTGGTATTTTTTAACATTTCTGGATCTCAACTTAAATGTTAAATAAAATTCTGTTGGTTCAAACAAACCTCTGCTGCAAAGTATGCATGTCACATAACAAACACATTTCAAAGGTTGAAGGAGATGGGACGTGATATTCTTTGGTGCTCCGTGCATGCACCCGAGGATTTGTGATTCCACTGTGGAGCATCTGGGTGTCATGAAATCAGACATCCTGACACTAGCTTTGTTGTGTTTCAGAGCCCTTCATGAGGAATGGCCGCCCACCCACCTCCCACAGCATGCACTCCTTTCTGCACCAGTACACCGGTTCCTTCAAGAAGCCGCCCCTGCGCCGGCCACACAGCGTCATCGGGGGCACTCTGGGATCTTTCATGGTGATGCCGCGCCATGGCAGCCGCCTGGGTGAGAACACAACACACACACACACACACACACACACACACACACACACACACACACACACACACACACACACTGATGGAAGTGAGCGATAGAAAAGCAGATGCCATCCAAGAGCAAACAGGAAACGTCTCACGATCCTGAGATTTCACATTTGCAGACAGATTCTGGGCATTAATCTCATGCACCCTTAGCAGGCCTGCTTTTTACCCAAGAGGCTGCTGGATGGGGGAACTCAGTCAAACGTTACGCAGTTTCCTGCGAGAACTGACTCATCACAGTCAAGCCTAGTGACGAGTCTCATCCTGACTGGTGGAAGTGAGATGATGTCCAGATGATTCAGAGCAGTAGCAGATTTCAAGGTTGAACAACCCACATGGTGGCAAAATGATTCACAGGATGTAGAAACATGGTCTGAGACGCTAATTCTAAATGTCGGTGAATACATCTTGATATTCAGTTCAAGTTCAAATAAAAGTGATGCTAAAATGTGGTATACATCATGGGACTTCCACACAGGACGTGCTGGGTTCAATGGGAGTTCAATTGAGCCACATCAACTGCGCGTTTGTCAAACTTTGTCCTCATAATCTACCAGAGCTCCCAATTTCTGTGCTTTTCTTGGTGCATCACTGTATGACACCATCCACTGAGAATAGAATAAAATAGAATAACTGGTTTCAGAGCGATGTGCTATGTGATAGCACCTTTAGACCAATTTTGTGACTAAACAGTTTTTGTATTCATGCTTGTAGGAAGTCAGAAGACCAGCTTTATGTTCTGTAGCTGGCAATCATTGAAGTTTTAATGTGTTCTCTCCTTTTGTTGTGAGTCTGTTTGTAGCATGTTGAATGAGCTGCTGATTGTTGGGCTTAAAAGATGACTGAGGACCACTAAAAACATTACCAGTTAACATTAGGATTCTACATGTTTACATGAGCATTTAGCTTAAAGCCTGTCAGAGTGGTCACAACCTGTTAATTGTATTATATTCGTCAGTTTCAAATTTTTCAGATGGTGCCATAAACATTAAGCAAACTTTAAAATATTTTTCTTTTCAAAGTGACCCAACAGCAATAACCAGCATCTGTGCAAACCATGTGTTCCACACAATGTTAGACATTTTACAGCTCAGGCTTTTTGCTGGTGCTTTTTCTCAGCCAGTGGAACACCAAAGGACCTGTTGAGCCTCACACTGGACCCTGGCCTAGATAGAAGGACTTGGATCTAAAAGCAGGCCAGTTAAGTAGGACATTGATGTACTGCATATTGCTGCTACACTCTGTTTGCCTTTTGGCAAGGCTGCTAATGACCACAGAGAGAAAGAAGACAAGTAGTGAGAGAGAGAGAAATGTGGCAATGTGTCAAAAGCTCTGTAGAGACACGGAAATAAAAGAAGGATCAGTGAAAATGTTCAGCAAAGAAAGCTCAATTATGGGTGGAGAACGAAATCATTCAAGGTTTTTGAGAAAGAAAGAGGTGAAGCAAGACAACCTAAAGGAAAACAATGTGGGAGGAAGATAAGAAATCAGCATAGGGGGATTTGTAAGAAAAAAAGACTGGGTTTGGTTTGGTTTAATGAGAGAAAGTCAAAATATTATTGAGAGAGGAAAAAAATGTGAGAGTTCTTGGAGGGAAGACATAAAATAGCAGGAGATGATGCAGAGGTATGTGAAAGTGAAAGGAGGTTAACTGTCCTACTTTAAAAGAAAGTAGGACAGATTAGATCATTTGAAAGCTTTGGAGAAGAAGAGGCACAACAAGGGCAGGTGGGGGGGATTCTGCTGAAGCAGTAGAGGGAATCAAATGAGCTAAACCCTTTAAAAACTTCACACACAACAGAAAATAAGCCAGAAGAGTGAGAAATGCATAGAATAAAAGCACATGAAAGGCAGAAGTGGTAGCTGAAAAATGCTGAAGTTTCTGAGAAAGAAATAAGTGTGCAAGTCAGAGGATCTGAAAAAGGGGAAAGTGGAATATTTGGAAGTTTTTCGAAGAGAGTACAAGCATTACAGGCATGAAAAATGGAGTGAAAGCTTTCTGGAATAAAGAAATTAGACAGTTTTTATCTGTAGGCACTCATTTATGAAAACACAGGAACATTCTGAGCATTTACAAAGGTATAACCCATAAAAACCCATATATATATATATATATAT